GACAATGCATTCCTTTTTGTTTTTATTCATTGTCTCATCTCATGTATTTTGTTTTTGTTCAAATAAACATTCATGTCTCGTCAAGTGTTTTCTATTTAACTTTAAAAAACGAAATTATTCTGTAAAACATTTCTTCGTATTCTTTTTTTTGTGTATATTAATCTTCATTGATCTGTTCAACATCACAAAATAAAATAAACATTTATCAATTTAATATTTTTCTATCAAAGAAAACCTAATAGTATAATCTGTGTGATGTTAAAATGTGACACAGGATGGATCTACATAAATTATAAATCAAGAAATTCTGCAACATATACCACGATTTATGTTTTCGAGCATATTGGTATGTCCATGATGAAAGATGTTATTCGTACTACATTATAATGAGTTTGGAAAAAGGGCCAAAGACACTTTCAGAATAGTGCCACAGAAGATTTTAACTTCGTGAATAAGTTTGTCATAGTCTGCGAGAGGAAGAGGAAGTCGAAGTTTCTACTCCTATACTTCAGCGTTGCTTTTAGATAGTGTTTCAAAAAGTAATTCAAACGATGTAAGACTAAGAAGTACTACCTATTGAATATTTGCACTGTTTCAGTCTCTTATTAAATATAAACAAGAAAAAAAAATAATTCTGTCATTGCTTCGAAACAAGTTATTAGTTGAATATTAATCAATAGAACGGGTATGAAGTGTGAGAACATAATAATCTAGTCACTATGTTGGATTATATCTTGAAGTGAACTCAAATTTGAAAATTTCAATTCATTTGAAACTGTGCTGTTGAGTGAGCATAACTACTAGAATGTAGTAGAAATTCGGAATACAGGAAATTCTCAGTATTGACATTCATCAATAGCTAAGGACAAAAGTAAGATTTGAGAATAAATTTCTTTGTTATTAATTTAATAAAATAAAAATCTATCCTGTTGTAAGACGTTGTAATTCTGCTAATTGGTTATCAATATCATTCATTGATGATGATTTGTGTTCATTTGGTAATTTAATTGGCCCTGAATGAACAGTAGGTAAATTAATTTGAATCATATTTTCAGCAAGAATTTCATTATTTAAAGAATTTAATTCATTTTCAAGATCCAAATCAGTTGTAATTAAATCATTTGTTCCTATTGGTGTAGCTAATAAATCATTAATATCATTTGAAATATCGATTTGTTCTGTAATATTATCAATAATTTGTTCAATTTTTTTTGTTGTCATTGATTTTTGTGCACGTTTTAAATGTTGTTGGCCAATATTTAAACTATCAGTTACTTGTCGATTAAAATGTGATGCTTGAACTTGTTCATTAACTAATACAATATTTTCTTTCATTTTCCATAATTTTTCTCTTTGTTGTTCAAGTTGTTTTCGTCGTTTAATAAAACGTATTGCACCTATACGATCTGGATTTGTTTTTTTTAAACATTGACGAGCTTTATTTTGTACATCAGCAATTTCTTCATCAATTTTTTCTAATTTTTTATCCATCAAATCTTCACTTTGTTGTAGATAATTTATTGTTCGAAGAGCATCTTGATTTTGATTATCAACATTGCGTGTATGAGATCCAGAAGATGAAAATGGATGACTATTATCTTTTGATTTTGATTCACCAAATAGACGTCGAAACATTATTATTAATATTAAGTTATCAAGAAAAAAAATAACATTTTATTTTTAAATAATAATTTAGGATTTTGAAAGCGCCTTTTTTTT